AACACACTGATTCCTCAGTGCCTTTTTTTCCCCCAAGTCAGACAGTAACAATTTATATGCTTAAGAAAAAGCTCAATTACCTGAAACCACAATTATCCACATTATAAAATTTCTGTATGCAAAGTTCCTAAATATTACTTAATAATCATAAAATTTAGAGAATAGATTTTAACTCTTCCAGTCTAGACTTCTTTCAGTCTCTCAGATAATGGCCATGCTTCTCTGTCAACAGGGAAGCCAGGGTGTGTACAATTATTTATTTATTTATTTATTTATTTAGCTGTGAGTCTTAGTTGCGGCAGGCGGGATCTTCGTTGTGGAATGTGGGATCTTTTAGCTGTGGCATGTGGACCTCTTAGTTGTGGCACGCAAACTCTTAGTTGCAGCATGCATGCGGGATCTATTTCCCTGACCAGGGATGAACCCGGGCCCCCTGCATTGGGAGCGCGGAATCTTACCCACTGGACCACTAGGCAAGTCCCAATCACTTCTTTCCCTGGATAATCCCCTAGGCAAAGAGGAGGGCAGTCAGCCAGGGAAGGGATCCTCCCACTGATTTGAGGACAAAACTACCTGGCTAGTATTGAGTGAATTTAAAAGTGTAAGTTTAAAGAGAAAAAGAAATTGGAGAGGTGAATCGGACAGTGCTAGAGGAATAGGAACAAACCTTCCTCTCTTTGGAAGACGGAGGTTCCGCTCATTGGTGGCACTCTGCCTTATCTACGTTAGTTGCCTAGGCTTCCTGAGCTGCTGGGGCAGATTAACATGCCAAATATCCATCATATCCTCATTAAAAATAAGTAAACACAGGCCATCTGTGTTTTCCTTACCTATCTTGGTCTGACTAAAACTAATCCAGTACTGTTATTTTAGAGAAAAGTATTTGAAAATATGTTTCACATCTATTTACTTTACTTCTAAATATCAAGAAAATACATAATATTCTCTGTTGGCTGTGTTACAAACATGCTCTCTATCTACTCCTGGCTGCCCAAAGCTTCTTGGCAATTAACTTATTCACCACAGGCAGTTTCTGACTGATCCAAACTTTTCCTACTCTTGAAGTCCCTAATCGCCCTTTCCACTCCTCACTATGCGGGTGACCTTCCTTCCGCTTTTCTGAGGAGGATGGGGTTCCCCTAATTCTGGTTCACTGAACCTTAAAGCTTCCGTGTATCATCTTTTATCCTCATCCACCTCCTACATCTATGAAGATTTGATTACCTTAGTCCTGCCCATTCCTGCCTTCTCCAGACCTTGCTGCATAAATGAGCTCTTGCATATTTAGTCATTTCCTTTACTTTTTCCTTTAATTTTCAAGTAAGCCCAAGTCTTCCCATCCTAAAAAGAAATCATTCCCTAGATGATTCTAACCTTTGAATCTGCATCTACTTCTCTGAGTCCTTTCTTCTCTGTCTTTTCCTCAGACTCTTTCTCAACTTCCCCCTAGAATTTAGAACTTCTCTTTTGTTCCTCTCTTGGCTCAGGTTTGATGTCTCAGTCTCTTTCACATCTAAACCTGATAATAAAATAATGTCTGTTTTGCAGGTTCTTTCAACTATGGAAAGACTGGAAAAAGTGAACAACTTTCAAGAGTTTGTTCAAATATTCAGTCAATTTGGAAATGAAATGGTGGAGTTTGCACATCTTACTGGAGATAGACAAAATGTATGTGTTTACCATATTTAAAAATCTTGAGATACATTTATACTTTTCAGTTTGGATAGAGGTGTGATCTTTGTGATCATTTGGGTTGGTTTTTTTGCTTATTAAATCTATAACCTTGCTCTTGAAAGCCTTTCATAAATAAGCCAGGATAAAGTAAATAGATCTGTATGCTTTTTTTGCTCACAGATAACAGCTGAATATTTTCCCACCTCACACACTGGGAAAGGTCATACTTGCCTTCAAGGCCCAATTCAAGTACTTCCTCTTTCACAGAACTTTCCATTTGACTCTTCTACAAGGGCTCAGGCAAATAAATGAGTCATCATGCATATCCTGATAGTATTTTGTTATGTATCTCTTATTATTCTTTCTGTAATTTGTTATATATTATTCTGTTATTATATCTTTCTGTAATTGTTCTATATTAGATTAATAGTAATAACCCAAGCATTGGGTGATTTGCATTGGCTATATGTTAGCTACTTAATATTCATGATTTCATTTCATTCTCAGAACATCCGTATAAGGTAGGTATTGTTATTACTGTTTCACACATGAGGAAACTGAACTTGAGAAGATAATAAAGTTTCCCAAGGTTACTTTTCTAGCAGGTTGAACTCAATTATGTCTGATTCTAAAGCCTGTAGTTTTCAAACCGCACCATGATAATAATTCTTTGTAGGTCTGTTCCCCAATTCAGACTGTAAGTTCTGAAGTTTAGGGAGGTGGAAAACCATGTCAAATCCAGGATTGACTTTTTCTTGTTGTTGGGGTATTTGTGCATGAATTTATCCTGTCAAGTTAAATATATAATCTCTTCTTGAGATGCTTTGGTATAGTCCCATAGGCCATGGTTTTGGGCGTGAACTTTCCTGGTTGTAGCTGGAGTTGGAAGGTGGGTATTGGCCTGGAAAGTGGCAGGCTGGATTATATGCTTCACTTAGTGCTTCTTGGACATCTGGGTTTAATGAGGCCTATGTTTCGTCCTGTGGACCAGCCCTCTAACAGATTGAGATGCCACCTTTTTGGATCACTTGCTATCACCATACAATATATGGTGTAATGTATGGCTTACAAGTGTTATGTATACACACTTGATGCATTGTCAACTAGACCCACAGGTTTTTTTGCTAGAAGTCCTGTCCAGTATGTTAAAGACAAGGAATGGATGGAAATTTTAGAAGTGACCTCAACCTTTATTTTTGAAAGATACTCCTAATGGATGATAATCACATGTAGGATACAGTCCCTTGGAATGTTACCTTGTGACCGGAATTAGCTTTGGAGTTTTTTGCAGTTTCTCACTTACTACATGTAACTTTGCTTCTTTCTTTCCTATTAAAGAAAGCTGTATTGGGATGCAAGTGAATGAGAGTGATATTATTATAGGGATAACTTTGAATCCACTCTCATTTATTAAAACAAATAAAAGGAAATCACTTTGAAACTTTAGGTCTTTGTTATTTGTAAGAAAAGGCTTTTCATCCAATTGACAAGTGAGAAAAAAAATTGCCTAATATGACAGGTGAAAATTTTATGTAATCCAAATTTCAGCATCCATAAGTAAAGTTATTGGATCACACCCATATTAATTTGTTTATGTATTGTCTAGGGTAACTTTCATACTACATTGGCAAAATTAAGTAGTTGTTTCAGAGACCAAATGAACCAGAAAGCCTCAAAAATTTATTATCTAGGCTTCTATTGAAAATTTTTGCTGACACCTGATTTAGATGGTTACCAAACTGTTATGAGAGTATTTGGTTGTAGATTTAATCAGCAATATTTGGAGATCTTCTGTGATAGCACACATTCACATCAAGGGCTATATGAAGAGAAACCAAATAAAAAAAAAAAAACAAACCCAAATACAGTGCCTACTTCAGAGTTTATATTCTAGTTGGGGAAAATTATATGCCCAAGAAACATCTTAAGAACATTTTAGAGCAGCATATTGGCTAAGTTTAGGATTAAAACAGCAACAACAACAACAACAAAAACTTGAGATGAATATGCACTTAGATGGGATTAATCAGACATGATCCCTGAAAGAGCTGACTTCTAAGTGTCTATTTTGAGGGAAATAATAGTCCACAAATGCTCAGTAAATAAGTCGCTTTTAATTAAGTAAAGCATAGGATGGTTGTTTCTGGTTGGGAGTGAGGTGTGTTCACATGGGCAGAATGTCAGGTGTGCAGGCCACCAGAACGTGAGCCGCATGGCAGCCTCTCCCTAGGTCTCAGTTCCTGGCTGTGCTGCCCTTAGTAAGGGCAGCTGTTTCTTTCTACTCTATTGTGTTGATATATTTATATTGAAGTGGTGACATTTTATAAAACATTTATTCTGGGTTTTTTTCTACTTTGTCACTTTTTTAAAACAATGTTACTTAATTGTTGAGTATTGCTATTATGGAGTAAATTATTTCTCAAAAAATTGTTTACATGATCCTAGACTGCTCAGTGGTTTTATTCCATGTTTAGGATTTGAAAGATGAAAAGAAAAAGGCAAAAATGGCAGCAGCTAGGGCAGTTCTTGAAAAGTGTACAATGATGCTTCTCACAGCTTCAAAGGTAAGAAAATGTTTGTTTTACTGTGTTGTAAATTAATTAGAAAACCTGATTAAATGCATCTAATTTATGTATTTTACACTTTAAAAAGATGAAAGTGATAAATTGGAATATGGACTCTAATAGTTAAATTTCAGTTATTCTTTAACAAGAATGTTAACTTCCATCCCCAGTTCCAAACATCAGGTAATCTATGAGTCAGCTTTGAGCAGCTAAGCAGAAAATGGCTTATTAAGTGCTGTGAATGGAGGCCTGTCACACACGGTCACTGCCTGTGGGGTTTTGCTAGTCTCATTGGGGAGCCAGCACATGTGCTCTAGAAAAAGCTAGGCAAGTTAGAATCTGTTAAGTAACAGTGGAGTATTAAGTCAGCCCTTAGCTTGTTTATTCTGTAAATTCATACCTCTAAGTCCTTATTCTACTTTTAACAAAATTGTCAATCAAGAGCTCGTAATTTCAAACAGCAGTCGGCCAGCAAATTGGTACAATTCAAGAAAGAACTAGTAAACATCTCATTAGCAGTTTGTTTAAGATTGCCTTTTCTGCTCGGAATATTGCCTCGATGCTAGGATCAGTGAAGCCACAGAAACAGGATTCACTGGAATCTGCTTGGAAGGCTCTGTTCATAGCTAGGCCCTGGAGTAGTTTTTCCTTTACATCATTTTTTAAAAGTCAAAGATGCATCCACAGTCATAAGACATCTGTTCATTTTTCCTCATTCTTTTTTAGCTCTTGCACATATTAGGCAACATTTTAAAAGTTTTAATCATGATGAAGATATAGGGTTGTTTTTTTTTTCCAAAAATTTTAAGTAAACATACTAAAGTATAAAGATATAGTTTTGCACTCTGCCTTTTTCACTTAACCTTGCTGTCGCTTTTTACTCATCCTACTTCCACTTTTAGTGAGGAGAAGCAGCTGGGTGAGCCAGGGACACGGGAGATTTTGGTAAAGAACCATTTTTATTAGCATGGCATATTCTCTGTAAGATTTTGTGTATTATGATATGGGCCAAAACTTAACATAAAAATTATCAATTGTTTCAAAGACGTGTCTCAGGCATCCCAACTGTGAATCAGCCCATAAAAACAAAGAAGGAGTATTTGACAGAATGAAAGAGGCATTGGATAAGGTAATTGAAATTGTGACCGAATGCAAACCAAATGGAGAGACTGACATTTCATCTATCAGTATTTTTACTGGAATTAAGGAATTCAAGGTAAGAATAGAGAGAATATATTTTGTTTTTTTCTTGCCATTTCAAAGAAGCATCATTATATGTAGTATCCATAGTTTTGTTTAATATTTTAGAATAGATGCTTCACAAAGGCAGATATTTGTCTTTAAAACAGTGCCACAGTGTACAAACTTAATATTCAGTAACATAAAGCTTAGGGTAGTTTGTACAGAGAACACTGGTCTAGGGTTATAGTAGCTGCTCTGGCCCTGTTTAGCTGTATGATTTAGCTGTAGCCTCTTGTCCTCTGTTTAGAAGTGTTCCCTTCCCAGCTCCAGAGCATTGCCATACCATCATGGATGATTACAGACAGCAGATCTGGAATCTGCTGGAATCCCTGCTCTTCCTTGTGCTATAGAATAGATACTTTGAGACTGTAGTAATAATGATAGCATTAATGATACTTAAAAATTTTAAATGAACAATAATACATGCTAACATTATCAAGCACTTATTCTGTGCCAGCCCTGTGCTTTAAATGTGCGTGCGTGCGTGTGTGTGTGTGTGTGTGTGTGTATCTCAGTCTCACAAGAACTATTATTATTATTCCCATTATACTGTTGAGGAGACTGAGAAACAGAGATTAAGCAACTTGCTAGCTAGAAAGTACCAGAGTTAGGATTTGAAAGTTGGCAGCCTGACTCCAGAATCCCCACCGTTTCAGGGCAGAACTCATCACAACTCAGAGATGGTGACAGTGCTCTTTAGTAAGAGCGGTGTCTAGTCGGGAAGACCCAGGGAATTGTCTAACACAACTCCCTCATTTAATAGGTGGGAGAACTAGGGCCCTGAGAAGTTCTCTAATATGCTACGGGTTACCTCCCTCTCTAGTAGCCAGGGCTGTGACAGGGATGGTATTCTTTCCATCTAAGTAGGAACATGGGATGGAAGAAAGTAATGGAAAGAACATTTATTTTTAGGCATCATGCTCTCAATAAGTATTTTCTCATTTAATCTCTAACTTCCCTTTTAGATGCATATTACTATACCCATGTTTTTGAGGAGGAAAGCTAATATGTGGTAGAACCCTTGTTTAGAACCAGGACTTTCTGATCCCAAAGTCCATGACCTTTCAGTTTACACCTCTGAGTCTGTTTATATGCTGTCTGTCCTACCCGACATCTCCTCCTGAGGGGGAGGAAGCTACAGGGACCAGTCATTCTTTCAGAGTTTTTATTACTGAAAGGAATCTTAGAGATAATTTTTCTAATTCCCTCTTTTTGTTAAGGCTGAAGGGATAGATGTCAAAGGTCAAAGGATAATAAGGAAACAAGTAGGGGTAGAGCCAGGTCTTTGACCTCTTGACACTGCATTTCTGGTTCCTGGCTAACTAAGGGCAGCGTGGTGCCTGTGGCCGCTGCTGGCAGCTCCAGCTGCTGATCTCTTTGCCAGCAGGCATTCTGCAGAGCAAAGCGATCATGAATAGACTCAGTCTTACTGTCAGTGGTTATCTTCTTTGCATCTGTAGAGGGAAACTGGATACTTTATTCATTACTTTGAATATATGAACGGATCTTATGAAAACATGCAAATAAGTGGCTTTCAAAAAAAAACTGTACTAAGTTGCTGTTTAAAAACATATATATGTTCTCTTTAAAGGAAAATAAAAAAGTTTAACATAAATGGTATGTGGACTGATTTTTATGTTGTAATTCTGTTTAAATCTTCAAATTCTTAGGTTCTCATTGTCAATTCCATACCACACTTTTATCCATGTTCTTTGCTAGCTTAAGAAAAAAGAAAGAAAAATCCTGTCTCCATAGAACAGAGTGATTACTGGAGATAACTTGGGCCAGGAGGAGAAGGGGGAGCTATTACTTCCCTGTGGCCTCTCGACCTTCCCAAATCTTGGTATTTTCAGGGATCATGTTAAAATGGGTCATATGTAAGGATTAATTTGGAATGATAGTTGTGAAAGGACTTTAAAGTGTGAAACAAATGTAAGTTATCCTTATCAGAGCAAGAATTGTGCCCACAATCATGATGATCACCACCTACTGCCTCTCAGCCCAGGTTGTTTCTGTGACATATTTCAAGGGCTAGAGGTTAAATAAGGTTGAAGTGACATAGCATATCTCAGAAAGCTGAGAGAGAGAGAAAATTGTACTAGTGAACATGTGTTCGTCACACATTCAGGGAACTCTAAGCACAGGCTGGCTGAAGTGAAAGAAGGTTTAGGAACTCAGAGAGATGAGATAGACTGTTAGAAAGATATGTAAAGACAGGACCCTGGAAGGTTTTGTGTTATGCGGTACAAGTTTGGGCTTGGTTTCATAGGTGTTAAGCCAATTAGAGGGAGGTGGCAATATCTGAAGAGGTACGTTTTAGAAAGATGATTGAGGTCCCCTGGTAGAGAATGTTTTGGTCAGGGAGGTACTATTGGGGACATAAGACAAAATGTAGGGAGACTAGTTTTGCTGAATTAATGAAGGAAAAATTGATGCCTTTCCTAGTCCCTTCTATACCCCATACCTTCCACACCATTCCCCCTGGGCTCAACACATTCATTTTTGGCTGTAACATCTTCCAGGACTTTGCCTTGGCATTTTGTCAGATACAAATCCTTTACCTGGAAGCTGGTTCACTTTTCCTACCAGTTGCTACATGATAATGCTCCTTCTGCCTTAGTATTCATGGATCTTATAGAAATGCTTTGTTAACGACTATAGTAATAAAGCTCCTCACGGCCATTGGTGGCTCTCGAGCAATGTGTCCTCCTGAGTTAGTGGACAATAAAGTCATCCCCGGATGCTGTATTTCTCCTGAGCTTTCAGAAAGGGAAAGAAATTGCTAGCATCTTCCTGGGCCCTGGGAGAAAGTACAGCCCGTCTGGTTAGGTGGGAATGTTGACTCATGTGGATGTATATCCTTTTTGTTCTCAGATGAATATTGAAACTCTTGGGGAGAATCTTTTTATTCAGTCAAAAGAGACTCTCTCTGCAATGCTGGACGCCCTCTTGGAGCGCACAGAGGACTTTACTGATTGTGCCTATACCAGCCATGAGCACAGAGAACGCATCTTGGAACTGTCAGCTCAGGCCAGGATGGAACTGCAGCAGTTAATTTCTGTGTGGATTGAAGCTGTAAGAGCTTTATTTCATCAAAGTAAATCTTCTGTAATAGCTTTTCCCTGGAGCCCTGAGAGTTGTGGCGGGCGCCGTCACCACCAGGAGTGTGAATGTGGTCCAGAGTGGGCCAAGGGTGTCTCATTCCTTTTCTGCCCCCTACTTGGCCAAAGCATCCTTCCCACAAGCACTCACGGTATTCAACATTTCTAGGCCTGTTGTTTCTCATCCTGGCCAGTCTGGATTCTGTGCCACCATCACTAGTTCACCCTGTCGTCCCCACTCTTCCACCAGACTCACCTCTGGAAAATTCCTTCCCAAAATGCCGGCGCCGTTCAGATGTGCATAGTTCTTAACTCTGAGGACAGCTGATTTATAGACACAAGGATTTAGAAAACTTATTGAGGTTTAGATGCAATGAAGACCAGGGTAGATCCAGCTGGCAGGTGAAAGATTTTTCACTTTCGCACAGATTCCTGGTCTCAGACTGGCGGGCAGCCACTTTAAGAGCCTTAAACAGGCTGCTGGTGCGCTTCAAACATGGGAGTTATTTGGGCAAGAGTGGCAAGGACTGACAGAAGTGGTACAACACAGGAGGTGTGCACCTAATCTCTTCTAGAGCGTGGGTTACAGATTTGAAAGGTAGAGCCCTGAGACATGTCTCTGGCACCATTTATTTATTTCTTAGGCCTAGGATATGTCACAAAAGTATTTAACATGGTTTACAACATATAGCATGGATAGAACAAATCTGGAAATCATGGACAAAAGCTTAGGCAGTAAAGATGAAGAAGGGTGAATGTGCCTGAGAGGGTCCAGCAGTCTGCTTCCTTGTGAAGACATTGATTTATGAATGAAGAGTAGTATAAATCACAGACTTCCCTCATACTTTCTTGGCATCACAATATTGCAAATGCTCATATTAACAGGGAAACTTAACTACGATAGAATGGTGTCAGGGATAAAAGCAGTATTTTGTGTTTAGTTTGAATTGTCTATGTGATATCTAATCTGAAGTGTAGATTGCTTCAGAATTAAATTTTAAGCCCAACATGCAGTATAAAGAGTTTCTGTGAGGACGCGCTCTCTGCGTTGGGCATCCAGTTCTGTCAATACTTAAATTTGCACTTAGCACCTTTCACATGTTTCACAAGCACTTGGATCTCCGATTCTGCATGTCAGATGTATTGTTCATTCGTTCACTTTTTCAGCAGTTGTCATTGAGTGCCTTTTATATGCCAGGCACCGAAAATCTAAAGATGAATAAGATAAAATCTTTGCCTGCAAGAATTTTGCAATGTAGAAAAATGTGGGAAGGTGTGAAACGAGTACAAAAAACTTGGTATCTGTTCTAAGAGAAAGTACAGATCATGTGTTGAGAGGGTTTGAAGGAGGTTGAATTTGTATTTATCTAGAGGAATCAAGAAGCTTCATGAAGAGATTGACATTTAGCTGATTTATTCATTCAAAGAATTGAATACCTGCTACCTTCCATTTGCTGTGCCAGGTATTGTGCATTCAGTGGTGAGCAAAATAAATGTGATCCCAGCCTTCACAGAGCTTACCAAGGCCTAGTGAGGAAGATAGACTTTAAATAACAACAACAACAAAAATCAAAAGTATGTATGTAATTGCAAACTAGGATGATTACTTAGAGAAAAGGTTAGAGAGGGTAAGAAGAGGGTCTAATCTAAATTGTGTGATCTAAGAAGGTCTTTCTGAGAAAGAGACATTTATGTAAGGACTTGAAGATGAATAGGGTTTTAATTTTTGTCTAGGTTAAGAATGAAGAGATGAGAATTCCAGGCAGAAGATAAAACAGATTGGTTTTAGACATGATAAATATATTAAAGAAAATTAGATTTAAAAAATTCACCTGTTTAGAGTAGAAAAATGTAACTAAATAAAAATTCTCTTTTCCACTCTAACCATAAACAGGTGAATTTTTAAAATCTACTTTTTTTTTTAACTAAACAAATTGAGTTTATTAATTAATTTATTTATTTTTGCTGTGTTGGGTCTTCGTTCCTGTGCGAGGGCTTTCTTTAGTTGTGGCGAGTGGGAGCCACTCTTCATCGCGGTGCGCGGGCCTCTCACTATCGCGGCCTCTCTTGTTGCGGAGCACAGGCTCCAGACGCGCAGCCTCAGTAGTTGTGGCTCACGGGCCTAGTTGCTCCGCGGCATGTGGGATCCTCCCAGACCAGGGCTCGAACCCGTGTCCCCTGCGTTAGCAGGCAGATTCTCAACCACTGCGCCACCAGGGAAGCCCTACTTTTCTTATAGTTCACAGATGATATTAAAAATTTATTATGTTTGTAGTTTGAGTAAAATTGGAATTACAAGATGAAAAAGATAACTCTTCACATGTACTTTTAAAACTTTTTAGCAAAGCAAGAAAACAAAGAGCATCGATGAAGAACTGGAACTCGCTATATTGAAAATCAGTCACAGCCTCAATGAACTTAAGAAAGAAGTAAGTATAGTTTGAAATCTAGCCTCTTTTAATTCTTTGCAAGTTGTCATGTTGTATGGTATATATAAAATGCCTTAGCATTAGTATGTTCCTGTGCCCAGAAAATGTTTGTAAAGTTTTCCTTTGACGTAGTTATTTTGAAGCCACTGTTTTATTAGTGCCATCATTCTCAAAGCTTGTACACAAATGTTTATAACAGCCTGAAACTGGAAACAATCTAAATTTCCAGGGAATTCCCTGGTGGTCCAGTGGTTAGGACTTCACGCTTTCACTGCCAAGAGTGTGGGTTCAATCCCTGGTTGGGGAACTGAGATCCTGCAAGTGGTATGGTACGGTCAGATAAATAAATAAATAAATATCCATCAACAGGGAATCAATAAATTTTGGTATAACTATATCAAATGCTATTCAGCAATAAAAAGGAACACTATCGATACGGGCAATAACATGGATGAATTGCTTAAACGTTACACTGAGTGAAATAAGTCAGACACAAAAGTGTGTGTGTGTAATTCTATTTAGAAAAAATTCTTTAAAAGGCCAAACTGATTTATAGTGACAGAAACCAGGTCAGTGACTGCTGGGGTCAAAAGGGGGGATACTTACTACAAAGGGGCATGGGAGAACTTTTTGTAGTAATGGAAGTGTCGTAAATATTGATTATGGTGGTAGTTACTTGGGTGTAAATGTTTGTCAAAACTCATCGAACTGTACCCTTGGTACATTTTGTTGTATATAAATTATACCTTAATAAAGTTGATATTTTAAAATGTTCTTTTGGCTGTGAAGATTTCCCTGTTCCCTGGATGAAAACTTTATCATCTAATGACTTATTTGGTCACTCTTAGGTAATTGAAAGTCACTTTAAGTCAGGGCTTTGTGAACTACAGCCAGGCTGTTTTTATAAATAAAGTTTTTTGGGGGGGGGGCACAGTTCTGCCCATTTGAGTTGGGTAGTTGCGACTATGTGGCCTGAAAATCCTAAAATATTTACTCTCTGGCCCTCTACAGAAAATGTTCACCAATCCCTGCTTTAGGTCATAAAACACAAACTCAGTTCAAAAATGAGAATGTTCATTCCAATATATTGATCAGTATTTTTTATTTTTTATTTTTTTGCGGTACGCGGGCCTCTCACTGTTGTGGCCTCTCCTGTTGCAGAGCACAGGCTCCTGACGCGCAGGCTCAGTGGCCATGGCTCACGGGCCCAGCTGCTCCGTGGCATGTGGTATCTTCGCGGACCGGGGCACGAACCCATGTCCCCTGCATCGGCAGGCAGACTCCCAACCACTGCGCCACCAGGGAAGCCCTATTAATCAGTATTTTGATTCATTCAGTTGTAGGGCTTTGCTCCTGTTCCCCACTCCTCTAGCCCGCCTAGGGCTTTTGGGGAAAGTGTGGTCTCTTGTCTCTTTTTCAGGCCCTTCATCCTCTATTATCTAGCTTCTGTTCCAGATCTTTGCCAGGTTGTGGCACAGGGAAAGACGAGAGGAAGTGGGGAGTTCTTAGTGACTGGTGCCCTTATGAGATGCACTGGGCTCGAAGATGTTTAAAGCTGACTTTCTGGGCTTCCCTGGTGGCGCAGTGGTTGAGAATCTGCCTGCCGATGCAGGGGACACGGGTTCGTGCCCCAGTCCGGGAAGATCCCACATGCCGCAGAACGGCTGGACCTGTGAGCCATGGCCGCCGAGCCTGCGTGTCCGGAGCCTGTGCTCCGCAACGGGAGAGGCCACAACAGTGAGAGGCCCGCGTACGGCAAAAAAAAAAAAAGGAGAAAGCTGACTTTCTCTGTTGTGAATACTTGAGTGCTCTTCAGAGGCTTTCCTGGTGCCTCCCCTGACCAGCCCCTTACTTTGTAACTTCTGTGCCACTTTGCTACCTCCATTTTGGGGTGTGCCTGGGAGGGGACTCACAGCAAGCACCAGAAAGACCCTCCTCACAAAAACCTTTCTTCTCACTTATCTCTAATTTCTTTGTTCTTTTATATTTTTTAAGAGAGTCAAGGGCTCAAGAGAATGAATTGGTTTGGGGGAGTTTCATATATAAATTATCTGGTGATGTTTCATTGACCTCTGTTGAAACCTTCATTTTAACATCCTATTAAACATTAGAAAGATATGGTCTTCTATGGTTTAAAAAAAGCCTGCTCATTTTTTCCAGCCTATTCAATTTTAACTAAACTATTGTTAAGACTGTGACTATCAGTTGAACATAAAATCTTTTGGTGATAGCCTGAGTGACTTTCCATAAGCTTCATTTTCCTTACCTCTGAAATGGGTATAACATCAACCTAGAAGAATTTTTATAAGGATTAAGGGAGATAATGTCTGTAAAGCTACTTACAGTACCTTGCACAGAGCAGGAATTTCATGTTTATTCACCCTTTTTGCCTTGGAGTTCATAAGTAGTCTCTAGAACCATTTGTAAGATTTACGGGACCTTGAACAAGTCACTCAGTCTCTAGGGACCTGTTTCATAGTTTGTAAAATAAAAGGCTGGCATTAGCTATTTTCTGTGACCCTGATGGTTAAACAAAATCTTTTGAATTCTTACGTGCATTTAATTTCCAAAGGAAAATGCATTTTAATGTCTTTGTTTCTGACTGTAATTATTCTCACTTGATTTGGTGAATGTGGACTACCCTATTGTTAATTTTGTACAAAGTCCTGCAATTTGAATGGACATTGGATTACTTCCAGGAAAAAAAGAATCACTTCATTCAAATAGGCTTAATTAAAAATCAGATTTTCCTTAGGATGATCTCTTTCTGGTGAACCCCAAAATAACCTGTCATAACATTTTTTTTAAAAGGCAGGATAAGGAGAAGAAAAGATTTTGGAGTTAAATAGTATGCAAAGATGTTCAGTGAGAGTGAGCAATGCTTAAAATCCATTCCACCTAAAGTTAAATAAAACCTTGAGGTTTTCATTATCCTTTTATCCATCATTTCTCCTGTGACCCAAGAGTTAGACAGTAAAGCTGTGGATAGCAATATAAATAAACCGTGAGCCCCTGAGGGAAGGGGTTGTGTCCTACTTGTCATGTATGTCCAGCCTTTAGTTCAGTTCCTGCCATAATGTAGGTATTTAATAAAATTTGTTGAATATATATTTTATGTATATATATATATATATATATATATATATATACCCCTCAGCAGATCAAGTGGGACTGATATGAGGTTGCTACTCTTTGGTTTTTAAAGTACTCATGAGGTTTTTGTTCACAAAACCTTATTGTTTGTTGTCTTTTTTTCATTACCCTTCACTCCCCACATCTGCAGCTTCATAGTACAGCAGTTCAGCTGGCAGCAGATCTGGTAAAATACCACGCTGATCATGTGGTTCTCAAAGCATTAAAACTTACTGGAGTAGAAGGAAATTTAGAAGGTTTGGCTGAATATGCCTGCAAACTCTCTGAACAAAAAGAGCGGCTTGTTGAGGTGAGCAGTAGGTTGCTTGTTAAAGAAACTGTAGTTTAATGAAAGCTGTACTATCATCAGGTAATATTAACACAAATACAGTTTTTGGTTTACTCATAAGAGCGTTTTCTCTCTTGCCTTTGGAATTTTAAAAATATCATGTTTATCTGTTCTGTTCTTACAACAATTTGTCCTCTAAAACAAAACAATAAAAAATGCTAGAACCCACAAATGCCCTTCTTAACCTTCTTCCTTATTCCATCAGAGAGATTAGATCTTGGAGTAGAGCAATGGAGATACATCGTATGACCCTGTTTGTATTTGAATCTTTTGAGTCTCAGCAGG